AGTGGGTACTGGCGCACGACTGGCAGAGGGTCAGCGTGCGGCCCGTATAGAGCCCGGTCGTCATTCCTCCCCGCGTTTGTCACGTGCAGACTGGAAGAGCAGGAAGAGCCCCTTTATCACAGCCGTTGATAAGTGTGAGGCAGAAGAGGCCCAGCACAGAGCCCTGGGGCACACCCCTGCAGACCTGTCCTGCTCTGAGGCCACTGCTGCATCTCCCCATGGGCTCCCCTCTCTCCGCTTCCCTCTTTTCAGTTGATCTTGGCCAAGTGCCTTTTCCTCTTCCCTCCATCTAGACTCCCCTCCCCGGGGGCTGAGGACTCTGGGCTTTGCCAGTCTCCAGGGCCCCTCCCTGGGTCCCCAGCCGAGCCATCAGGTTTGGGCCCGTGATACAGCCTCCACGGTCCGGAGGCTCCCTCTCTCCTGCTCTAATTCCAGACTTTGGTGGCACCGAGTGGAAAACATGCCAGGAGGGTTCATTTCTGGGTGCCCCTGGGGCCCGGGGTCCTGCCCAGCCTGAGCCCCACCCTGGGGAAGGGGGCTCATTCCCAGGAATGTTCGTGGGCAACATTCACATGGCTCAGCCTCTTCCAGCCGCGTCGCTGGGGTGGCCAGAACTTGGCCCGGCCGAAGGGAGAGCAGGGTGGGGAGGAGGGCTCAGGGGCCTTGGGTTCTAATCTGCGCCTGGTCCCTGCCAGCTCTGTGCCCGTGGACCGTATCACTCTCCTCTTTGAGCCCCAGCTCCCCTGTAAAGCGGGGGTGGGGGGATGAGGTCATCTCGAAGGGCCCTTCATCAATCCGGGAGGGGCCCCAGAGATCATCTCACCCCACCCCCTTGTGTGCTTTCCTGATCTCTAGGAGGAGACCCCTGGACAGGTGCCAAAGAGCACGGGGCCCCGTGCAGATCCCTGGGCACTCCACTGGAGACCTCCTTCGGGGACATCCAAATGCTGAAGGCTGATCTCTTCTTCCTCTCCAGGTCCAAGAAGCCCCAGAAACCTCCTGCCTCCGTCCAGGCCAGACCCAAGGAAGCGCCCGCGGGCCCAGGCAGAGAGAGCAGACCCAAGCTGACCATCTTTGACGATGAGGCAGATGAAGATGACAAGCTCTTTGGCGCCCAGCTGTCCCACGCGGCTCCTCACGCCCCCAGCCGGGACAGTGAGTAGTGCTGCACCCTGGGGGTTCGGAGGGTTCTGGCTGGGCCGGGAGTCGGGAAGACCCGAGTTCAAATCTGCCCCAGACACTTAGGGGCTGTGTGACCCTGGGCAAGTCACTTACCCTTTGCCTCAGTTTCCTTTTCTGTAAAATGGGAAAAACCATAATAGCTCCTACCTCCCAGTGTGTAGAGACCAGATGAGAGCATCTTCGTGCTGTGTGAATGCCTCCTCCTGGAAGCCTGCCTGGATTCTCTCAGCCCCTGCTCATGCCTTGCCGGCACCCTCATGCACGGGTTCAGATTGTCTGTGTTGGTATCTTATGACTCTCAGCTCCAGGGGGCAGGACCTGCTCCTCCACACCCCACCCGTTGTCGTCATAGTGGGCAGTCCACATACCTGGACAAGGGAGAGGACACGGCCTCGCTGTGATTCCAGGCAAGGCTGGGCCCCGGGCCTCCCTCCCTTGGCCAGCTCTGGCCCTGGCCTGGATGCCCGACTCACACAGGGCCACTCTTTTCTCCCCCGCCCCCGAGGAAGCAGGCAGGCCCTTGGTGGCCCAGAGGACCAGCACATCTGGTACCCGTGTCATCGGGACAGGACCTGGGATGCCCCCAGGGCTTTGTCAGTCAGACAACGAGCATTTATTAAGTGCCTCTGCCACTGCACTTGAACTCGGGTCTTCCAGACTCCAGGCTCAGCACCCTACAGTAGGGCCTAGAGCCCAGGGTCAAGGAGGGAGCCTCGAATCTACGCTCTTCACGGTCCAGGTTGTCAAGAGTTTGCTTCCAGATGAACCTGGATCCCCGCCTCTTCCCCGTGCATCCATGCCCGATTCATCAGATGCTCTTCTGGTGTCACTAGCACCCCCGCCAACATCAAAGCCCTCCCTTGTAACAAATGCTTGAAGTCATACAAAGCAAATCCAGGCTTTAACGAGAGCCAGCTGGGGCAGTGCCTGAGCGGCTACGTGTCTGCACACGGCCGAACACCTGGCCAGGATGGCTCATCTGTCCTTTCCCTCTGTGCCCTGCCAGCAGTGAGCTCATTGCTCGGCATACAGTACGTGCCCAATAAATGTTGATTGATTGCCTCTCCTTCCAGGCCTCAGACTGTTCGAAGACCCCGACCTAGGAGGAAAGGTTTCCCTGGGAGATTCCTTGCTTTTACCAACTGCCTGTGAGCGCCACCAGGAGCCTGCGCTGGGCCCAGCGCACACAGACATCAATGATGGCCTGTTTGGGTACGTGCTTCGGGGCACCCGCAGCTGGAAGGGAAGCCCACCCCCCTCATTTGACAGCTGGGACCCAGGCCCCAGGGGGAGGGACTTGCCGAAGGTCACCCAGGGGGCAGGTGTCAGGCAGGATTTACACCCATCATTGGGTTAGCCCAAAGGCTTTGCCAAGACCCCCAGCAGGTCTGTCCCACAAAGCTCAGCTTTGACCCCCACCAGCGCTGCCCTCCTTCAGGGATCCCCAGGAGCATGGTGGGGCAGCATGGGCCCACCCTCACAGGGTGGCCCTAAGCAGGCCTGGAGCCCCCTCCCCACGGCTGGGCTCTCTGCTCTCCTGTCTCTCCGGGATGTGCCTTGCGGTGGGGCAGTACTGTGGTTAGGGCCAGCCTAGGCGTCAGGAGCCCAATGTGGAGCCCCTGCCCTGCTGTGGGCTGCCTCCCTCTCCTCCCTCTGTAAAATGGGGGGTTTGGAGTCCTGGGACCCAAGGTCTTCTAGCATCTGGCACCCTCGGGGGCTGATGGCTCAATGATTCATGTCACTCGGGCTCAGTCCTCGAGGGTGAATAGGACTGATTCTGCCCTTTGACTGGCCCAGGAAGCTGGGCCAGATGGGGGCCAGGGCATCTAGGTTAGCTGAGCTGGGAGCCATGGGGCTCCAGGGCCCAAGGCCAGCAGAGCTGGTGGCCTGTGGTCCTGTGACTGATGTGTTAGCAGCCGTATCTCCAAAGAGGGATGGGAGGGAGACCTTGGCACTCTACCCAGTCACCCAGCATGCCCTTCCCTGGACTGGCTCCTCCCTGAACATTCCACTACAGTCCAGGAGAGTGTAAGCTGCTTGAGGACAGGCTCTCCCTCTTGTGTCTGTCATCTAACAGCTCCTGGCACTTCAGAAGTGATTGATTGATGGGTCGGTCATCAGATGAGGCTCTTCCTGCCCTCCCCATCTCGGGGAAGCCCCCTCAGAACCACTGGGTGCCAGCTCAAGTTAGGGTGGAGACCTGTGGCCTCAGGGTGTGTGAGAAGGAAGCAGGTGTTCAGGGCCGGGCCTCTGGGGTGGGCAGTGGCCAGCCTTGGCATGCTGAGGGATGGGCACTGCCAGTGCCAGGGCCTGCTCACCAGCCCTCTTTCCTCTGCTTCTCAGAGTGGACGAGGACTTGGAGAAGATCTTGAGCTTGGGGTCAGAACCCAGACCCCAGGCCCTGCCCAGGGCCAAGCCTTGGGGGCCCACCAAACCAGCAATCCCCAAGAAGCCTGTGATCCCACCCCCAAAGGCTGGTGCCCCAATGGTGAGAGCAGCCCCGAGGGAGGACCAGCGGCCGGTGCAGGTCCAAGCTCTGAATGAGCTGGACATCCTGAGGTACATCCAGGACCAGAATTCAGCCCACAGTACTGCCCCCAGTCTCTTCTGAATGAGCCCTGGCTCCTTGGCTGGTGCCCTCGGCCCAGGAGTGAGCCCTGCCCATGGCCCAGGAGTCGGTCCTGCCCACTGCCCCTGGGACCTGCTGTTATTACCTTTATACCGTGGATCTGACCATGCTGTGCTGACCTTGACCCCGGGGTGGCGGACAGGATGGAGAGCTTGGGAAGGACGCCCCACTTGTCAGGACCCCGAGGCTGTGGGGGATGGATGGAGGGGCGTGAACATTCTGGGTAGAGGGAAGGAACAGCCCCATCCCACGGGATGAGAGTCAGAAGGGCCAGGACAGACTGCCACAGAGGAACGGCACCCTGGCACCAGGGGAGAACAGAGACACAGACCTGGGAGCCGGGCTCCATGTCGGCACACAGGCCGTCCGAGAAGGAGCCCGAGTGTAAGAGGGGCCAGAAGCATCTCCGGCGACGAGGGCCGGACGCCGGGGCCGGACGGGCATCATCGTCCTCTGTTTAGAGGCCGCTGGGCAGGCTCGGGCCCCTGGGCTTTGAGCAGAGCATTTGCCAAAGTCTCCCAGGACGTCTTTGCGGGTGAGACAGGCAGAAGAGACCCTGCTCCCTAACTCTGTGACCTTGCGCAGGTCACTAACTTCCTGTGCCTCAGTGTCCTCATCCACAAAGTGAGCAGAATTGCCGGCCTTCAGTGTTTCCTCGGGTTTTTGTCAAGTGCCTCCTAAAGGGAGTGGGGCACGTGTGTCCGGGTTCACTATCTCACAGCAGGTGCTCAAATAAACGG